GTGATTTTAACATGATCTTGAGAATGAAGGAAAGAAGTGGCAATAATTTCTCAAGGACTAATGCCAATAAATTTAGAGATGTTATGAAGAATCTGGGGATAGACAACTTACCGATCTCTAATGGCCAATGGACTTAATCCAACCAAAACAACCGATTCAGAATTGACAGATTCTTTATCTCCTCTGATTTTTGCTGAATTTGACGAATGTTTGCCACAAAATCTTTCCTTGACCCACCTCCGACCATTATCCTATATGTTTGGAGGCTGAGGGAATCTAATGGGGCCCTATTCCTTTTCGACTGGAGAATATATGGCTGAGGAATGAGGAGTTCCGGTCACTGGTTGAAGAATGTTGGAGAAATTGTGGGATTCAGGGTTATGCCAGCTACAGATTTGCCTGCAAACTCAAAGCCTTGAAGAATGCCATTAAAAGTTGAACTACAGAGGAGAGATTGAAAGAGAAATGCAGGTTTGAGACTGTTATGTCCTAGATTTGCTCACTGGATTCTAAAGAGGATGAATTTGGTCATGATGCAAATGAAAGAAACAAGCGGAGTGTCTTGAAAATACAGCTGGTGTCTATTTTGAAGGATGAGGAATTGTTGCGGAAACAAAAATCTAGAGAAAAATGGTTGGAGGAGGGGGGGGGGGCAAAAACACAGTATTTCCATGCTGTAGCCTCCCGCCGTGGCAAGATTAATTATATTGAGGAAATTCTGGTGGACAATAGAAAAATTTGGGAGAATTCTGAATTGAGAGATGCTGCCAGGAGACACTTTAAGAACCTGTACAGGGAAGATCATACCTTCATACCCAAATTGGATGGTATTCCTTTTTGCAGAATATCTGACGTGTGCAGACAGTCACTGGAAGAAGAATTCACTGCTGAAGAGGTCTTAAATGGTTTGAAATCTTGTTACGACAATAAAGCGCTGGGTCCTGATGGTTTTGGTATGAACTTTTTATTGAGTTTCTGACCCCTACTGCAGGAGGATATCATGGTTGTTTTTAAGGAGTTTCACTCCAATGGAAAATTTGTTAAATCCTTTAACATCACTTTTGTCACTCTTATCCCCAAGAAGAGTGGTCCAAATGAATGTAAGGATTTTAAACCCATTAGCTTAATTGGGTGTATGTATTAGCTTATTGCTAAGGTGATGGCTATAAGACTTGTAAAGGTGATGGGGGTGATTATTAGTGATTGTCAACGTGCTTTTATGGTAGACAGATCCCTGATGCTATAATGGTTGCTAACGAAACGGTTGATGACCTTATGACTAACAAAAAGGATGGGTTGATTTGTAAACTTGACATGGAAAAAGCCTATGATCATGTTAATTGAAATTTTGTTGATTATATGCTTTTTAAAATGGGTTTTGGTTTGAAGTGGAGAACATGGACGAAGAATTGTATCTCTACCACTTCTTTTGCCGTTCTTGTGAACGGAGGCCCTCAACACTTTTCAATGCGACTGGAAGATTAAGACAAGACGACCCATTATCCTACCCTTCATTATAGTTATGGAGGCTTTACATGGTCTTTTGGGCAGGGCAAGGGAGCTTCATTTGATTAGAGACGTTTCAGTTGGAAAAAAAAAAAGAACACCATCTAAGTATCCCACTTATTCTTTGCAGATGACACCCTGATTTTCTGTCAACCAGAAATAAGGAATCTACTATATCTGAAATGCACATTTCTGTGTTTCTACGTTGTTTCTGGACTCAAAATAAACACATTTAAATTTGAGATGGCTAGAATCAGTGGCAGCGGGAATGCTGGACTGTTTGCTAGTGTTTTGGGGTGTACAGAGGTAAAATTCTCTTTTAAATATCTTGGACTTCCTTTGGGTGCTAAATACAAAGATTGGAAGCAATACAATGTATATTCCTTTGGGGTGATGGTAACGATGATCGGAAATACCATCTTGTAAAATGGGACATTATCAAAGAGCCTCTCAAAATAGGGGGGTTGAGAATTTGATCTTGGGTGATATGAATAATGTTTTACGTGGTAAGTGATTATGGAGATACTTGAAAGAAGAAAACAGTTTGTGGAGGAGAATTGTGCATTCGAGATGGGGTAATTTCATGATGAGCAGGGCTGGCTGTAGAACTACTATCCCTCATGGGAGATGCCTGTGGAGGAAAATTATGATGCAATGGACTAACTTTCAGCAAAGTTTTTTATGGAAACTGGGCAGAGGCAACAAAATTTACTTCTGGGATGATGATTGGTGCGGGGTGGGTTGTCTTGGAAGTAAATTTCCCAGTATTTTCAGCATTGCTCAATCCAAGAATTTGTGTGCGGAGAATGTTGTCCAATTTGTGAATGAAAGAGTTGTGTGGGATATCAAAATTTCTCGGAATTTGAATGATTGGGAGGGGAGTGAGTTTGAAAAATTAATGCAGATTCTTGAAAATCAGAAGGTATCTATGTGTGAGGACCAAATCTGATGGAAACTTGGGAATAATGGATTTTCTCTGTCTAGTCATATTACAAATTTCTATGTAGAAAGAATGGTGAGGGTAGGTTTATTTTCCCAGCAAAACAAATCTGGAAAACAAAAGCTACCCCCTGGTATTGCTTTCTTTGTTTGGGAAGCTTGTTGGGAACGAATTTTGACAATTGATAAACTGAAAATTAGAGTAAGGATTCTGATTAATGACATCTGTTGTCTTCAAGCTGAGGAAACTTGCAATCATCTACTTTTGTGGTGTCTAACTGTGCACAGTTTGAGGTGTATGATTTATGAACTGTTGGGGATTGAGTGGGTTATTGTTGGATCTGTTAGGAAGGAAATTTAAGCTTCGGATAGGCTATCTGTAAAAAATAAAACTGCAAACTTGATTCCATTGACGGTTTTTTGGGTCATGTGGAAGGAGAGGAATGGTAGTTTTTGACAATATTGAAAGTAGTATTAACGGACTAAAAGATAGATGATTATATTATTTTGGGTCAATATTGTTAGGTTATAACATTATTAACGATATGAATTTTAGGAATGTTATTGATATACTAACACAGTTGTAAATCCTCTTTGTAAATGGGCGGTACCTCCTCACTTGGTACCTTGTTTATATATATATATACACCTTACTTTTTTATTTAAAAAAAAATATTATAATTATACAGTTCTAGGTCACAAGATATGAGCATCGTTATTCATGTTAACTTCTTGTTGAACCTACACTTCCCACAGTAAAAGACTTATTCTCAACCAGGAATAGAGGACGAATATCTAACTGGGAATACTTTGGAAACCATTCATATAAAGCAAGAAAATATTACAAGAGAAAACCAATGTGGTTGAGTTTGGTTCTGATTTCAATTTTTGAAATAAGAAAGAGAATACAGTAAAAATGGGATAAAAAATGAAAATAGAGTTCTAATTCAAGACTTATTTTTTTAAAAAAAAAGAGCTCTAATTCAAGACAATTTCTTACCCAACTCTTCCTCCTTTGACAAGTAAGAATATAAATCTATCTTTGTAGAACTAATTATATGAGTGAAACTGATTTAATAATGCAACAAATAATAAGTTGTAATTACATTATACATATCAAATTATTTAAGACATAATAATTGAATCATAATAGAGTAGTTTTAAATGAAATGAACAGAAAAACGTTTTCTTTATTTGAATAACTGAAAATTCAAAAAAGGAAAGAAAAGAAATAACTATTTTAACATTTGTTTTGTTTATCTTCAAAGAAAATGACTAATTATAAGACAATAGTCATAAAGTCCTTTATTAATAGAATAACACATTATGCAGCTAAGGAGGAAATAGGAAATTTACCTTTGATAGTTTTAAATCTTTTATCTTCTCCTACTTTCTTCACAATTTGGAAGAATGAAAAAGTTTGACTTTTAAGGGAAAGTGAGGATGAAGACCATCCTTCATTTCCTTCGCAGATTTTATTTTGGGGAAATTAACAAATTAGTCCATGAGTTTAGCACTTGTTACAATTTTGTCCCTAATGTTTTTTTTGTTACAATTTGGTTCCTTACGTATTCCATTTATTTTCAAACGTTCAGTTAGGATCAAATTGAAAGTAGTTAAATGTTTGAAACAATAAAAAAACGCAAAAGACTAAATAGTAACAAAAAAAATATTAAGATCAAATTATAACAAGTGCCAAACTCTGGTGACTGATTTGATAATTTATTTATTCTTTTAATCCGAACCAGTGCAAGGATGCGTCCCCCATCTTTTCCTTTTCTTTTTCCTTAACTTCCCTCAATCAAAATATAAATTCAAGGAACATTTTGATCTAAGAAAAGAATCTACCTGATGCAACCGTGCCCTCTTCTGAAATATTTTATCTTCATAGGATCCAATGGCCTGAATAAAATGCTCTACTCTCTCCAAATTTGGCTGAAACATAGAAAACAAAAGTCACATCAATGTCAAAGAAACCTCCCAAGCGCAAAATGAGGCTAAAATGGAAGGCCAAATCCAGTTTGGTAACTGCATCCACTAATAGAGCCCAGAACAAACCAAAAACTGGAACATAAATACCTTGCTTGCATCAGTCAGATATCCCCCTAATGACCTAAATTCCTTCTTGTATACAGCCATCAACAAGTTTATAGCACCCTGAAAAGATAACAAAAGGATAGGAGAAGAAAATTTTTTCTTCACTTAAAGAGTTTATGAATTGACTCAATCTGGAAGAAAATAAAGATGCAATATCATTTTTGACACGAGCATGGACAATGTCTATCATTGTCAGCAACATGCAAGGGTTACATATCAAAATATCAAATGCCCAAAGTTAAAAACCAATGATCACAAACTGCATTAACATAAAAGAAATCAAATGCTATATCCAGACTGCATTGACATACTGAGAATTTTAAAGTCTAAATGAAATCAACATATCATAGGTTTTTTAAACACTTTAGCACTCTCTAACATTGACCAGAAGAAAGCTAAATGAAGTCAAGTGTTTATTCTCTAAGCAAACATAACAAAATATATCAAATTTTTGGAGAGCAAAAGTCCTTACTTTCTTTCGTCCAGAATAACAATGTTATACTAGTAAAAATTTGTAATGTGATTGTTTTCTGCAATAGTACAGACCTCACGTATTTCCAATGTAGGCATGTGCGGTAAGAAATCATTGCCGACAAAGAAACATATGAAAATAAAATCATCCACGATTCGTTCTAAATCAACCTCAAATGGAATGTTGGGAATCCTCATCTCATATTCCAGATACTCCCTAAGAGTCCAGATATTGAGAAACTGCCAAGAGAAAAGTTCAAATTTGAGAATCATACACCATTTGCAAAAAATACTATATCACTAACAGAATCATATTATTCAAAGAAAACAAAATTTCCACATCCTTCATTCTATACGTACCTGGTATGGCTTTTTGGCCACTATACTCCCATCACCTTTTTCATCAAATTCTCCAGCTTTCCTCTTTGCCTTTCCTTCACAATCTGCTGCTAAATGGCCCATCTGACCGCATAGAAAGCATTTTTGTTGTTGCCCAGGGGTGAATACAATCTGAAACATGTAATTCAGAGACAACAGTTTATAACTTGTTCACTTGGGAGAGAAAAGTGGAAGTTGAACTTAATCTCCAGGTTTTCTTATATTTGTGAAAAAGCATAATAATCCACTCAAATAAGTACAAGCCTTTGGTCCCATGCCCCTAAAATTATCATAAATTGTCAATAAACTTATTCAACTTTACTCCAAGGGTACCAAACTTCAAAAACATAAAGGACATACCTCTCTAAGGATTGAGAAATGAACTTCATGAGTGGCCAAAGACAGCATAATTAGATCAGCGTCCTATTTTATTGCAAACGTAAACAGCAGCCCTCATTAGTTCAGTAGAAATACAGAAAATCTACAAATAACAAGGTCAAAATTT